AATCCCAGAAACTTACCGCTGAGACACCAGGGGACCTGTGCTTCTGCTCTGCCCACCGCGGGTACAAAACCTGAAATTTAGTGCTGTAACTTGTGAGACTTGTCGCTGAGAGTTTTTATCTTGGCAGGGTTGATAACAGTATTATTTTTACAAGGTTAGTTTCTATGGGGTGTGAAAGAGTATATTTAAGCTATACCAACATAGTACAGTATCTTAGAAAATAGGGAGCAGATTAAAGAAGTGTTGACAAAGTGTCAAGAAACGGAACCGAAATTAATCATTATAATTCAAAACCAGCCCTAGCGGAGACGCAGTATATTGTGCTTATGCAATGAAAGGCGAATTTTTAAGTGCTTGTAGTGTGTTGGATCTATAATTACATTTAACATGAAGTAATTTACATGATTGTTAACACTCACGTTGATGAAACTTTGACGCATGTTTTGAAACCCAGTACAATAGCAAACGTTTAATGACTTTTAAATTGGTAATATAATTTTTGTTTGTTTGTTGCTAAGCGCCAAGCCACACAATAAGCTATCTGTGCTGTGCCCACCACGGGTATCGAAACTCTGTTTTTAGTGTTGTAATAGTAATATAAAATACACTAATAACATAATTTTCACAGACAAAAATCGATTTTTGAGTTAGAACATGTCAACCCTACTGTTACCGAGTGGGTCCATAGATCCCATCGGCTTTATAAGCGCATTTTTCTAAATAATTTATACGCCGAATTATGTGAGGGTCCGTGACTTTGTTTATTACAGGGTCTTTAATAACATTCATAAATAAACATGCCATAAATATTACGATTACTTCCACTAACTACCGTTGACCCTTTCTGTGTATTTTGCATAGAAAATGAATAATTTCATCTGTTCGTATTTGTTTGTTTCTTTGTTTTTAACGCAGAGCAACAAAATGGGCTACCTTCGTTCTGACCACCCGCGGAGAATCGAACCCCGGATTTTAGCGTTGTAAACCCATTAACTTACAGCTGGTTTACCAGAGGATTGGTTTTTTTGTCAGTGCTTTAAACTGAGTGGTATAACAGGTAGAAAAACCAAATTAATCAAGATGGTTCAATATGGGCACCCTCCAAGATGCCATAAAGCACCTCGGTAATTTGAGGGTTAATCACAGTTTGTAGTCATTGCCATGGCCATGATTATGTACTGTTGCCCCATAACTCAGTTAAAAGCACCTCAGTAATTTGAGGGTTAATCACAGTTTGTAGTCATTGCCATAGCCATGATTATGTACTGTTGCCCCATAACTCAGTTAAAAGCACCTCGGTAATTTGAGGGTTAATCACAGTTTGTAGTCATTGCCATGGCCATGATTATGTACTGTTGCCCTATAACTAATTTTAGACCACACAGTTTTATAAAATTTTCACAATTTCCTCATTGTTTGTGGACGTTGGCTTCTAAACCCCGTTGAATTAGTTCAAGGGTAACAAAAATCCATTGAAACTGTATCAAGGATAGAATGAGGTTCCTATGAGTCCACTTTTCTCATAGAACTGTCCACGATTTCGATGTGTGTTGTAAGCTTATGAGCCTTCGTCAACTTCAAACCCTTTTTTATTATCTTATTAATGTGTCAGAAGATATGCTCGGCTCCACGTATACAACGATTTTTTTTGGGGGGTCTGAGTGTTCTCTTTCGTAACCACACGGAGTTACATCGAAATCGCTCGTGGCTTAGGAACGTGCTGCTGTTTCTAAAGGTTTTTAAAACTCCCTTCTTCGAAATGTGTTTCGGGTTTACGTTGTTTAATAATCTCGCTTTATACATATTCAGCTAGCCATATGTCTACCGTAGCGGCAATGAAATGTCCAAATGTCGAGAATTTGTCGTAAATCAAATATACGGGTGACAGACTTGTTTTCTACAGTGTCATGGGCCTCACCGAATCACTACTACATGAGCGCATATAAAGCATTCGTATAAAACATTACTGCCATTCTATACTGAAGAAAATGTGTGTACACCATATTTGCTTTAAATATTTTTTAAATGTTTCTTTTTACTTGCCTTTTTTTTTGTCTGCCACACAGTGTTCTCGAGCCACTTGGCCCGGCATGGCCAGGTGGTTAGGGCGCTCGACTCCCAATCTGAGGGTCGAGGGTTCGAATCCCCGTCACACCAAACATGCTGGCCCTTTTAGCCGTGGAGGCGTTATAATGT